CAAACCAGACAACATTTTCAGAAGGAAAACTCTAGATTCCACGCTGCGCCTGGACTAGACTATCATCTGGTTCTTCTTTTCAATAATATTATATATACGAGGGGATTAACAAAAGTTCGGTCAGTTGGCGACTTTCGATTTGCAATAACTTTTTTAGTCTTCCTTTCGAATTTCCTATGCAAATATTCAATTAATGCCAAATGGTATAAGGAATGATTGCATCGTCTTCAAAGACTATTTTTTAGTGGTTCCAAAGATTTCAGACCGGATCTTTTTCCGTAGACGACGAGCCTCGAGAAGGTCTACCAAAATCTTCCATTGATGACGTCGCTGTAACGCTGATGAAGTCCAAAATTGACACAGACCCACGATTGATACAAGAAATGATTGCTAATGAATTCGGCTTGAATGCCATGGTTGTATCGTTAAGCTCGCTCGATGGGTACCACGAATTTTAAATGAGGCCGAAAAGAGACTTGAATACATTTCTCTCAATTTTTCCTAAACAAATTCGAAAATGGTTAATCTAGCAAATAAAGGAAAAAAGTCGTTACTAGTGATGAATCCTAGTTCTATAAGTGCGATTCGGAAACCAAACAGCAGTCCATGGTATGGAGCCCAACAGGAGCAAACCTGCCAGTAAAATCTAAGCAACAAAAATCAGCAGCAAAAGTAATGATGTCAGTTTACTTCATCCGAACTAAACTCGTAGCTGCTGTTCCACTGGAAAAGGGTCAGACGGTAACTGCAAAATGTTACACCGAAGAGTGCTTATCAAAAGTTTTCAAAATTTTGTTGGAAAACAGAAAGAAAGAGAATTTGCGGCGCCACTTTTTACATCATGACCACGGACCATCACAAACTGCTGAAATAACGAGTAATTTTATAGCGATCTCTGGGATAGAAAGAATACTTCCAGTACCATATTCTCCAGATGTATTTAGCATCTTGTGATTTCTGGTTATTTCCAAAAATTAAAAGGTTTTGAATAGCAACGAGAAGATAATTGATGCGGTTAATGCTGAACTTGATAAGCTTAGAAAGAAAGATTTTGAAATCTCTTTTCAGAAGTGGATCTAGAGGCTTAAGAAATGCATTGAAATCAATGGTGAGTATGTAGAGAAGATAAAAATGGATAAAGATAACGAATGAATACAAAAATAATTTTTTTATTTTTTTCTTCCCAACTTACCGAACTTTTTTTATCCCCTCGCATATATAATTCGCACTTTTTAACCGATTGATTTTCGGCCGAGCTCCTCTTTCAATTTGTGATTTTGCGTCTTATTTTTTTTCCAACAAATGGAGGGATCTACAGTTTATACTAACCCGCCAGCGAGTGGTCGATGTTTTTTTTATGAGGAGGGTGAGGTTGACATTTTCTGCTTTCAATAATATTAGGCCAAGCAAAAAGTCATCCATTATTATTGCATTAGAGTTAAAGAGTTAATTTATCGTATTTAGAATTAACCGATTTAAGTCAAATATGCGCTGTTTTGCCTTTTTGAAGCGAATGCGAATTTAAATGGGGAAAATGGATTTTTATAGGATTCTCTTGCTAATTTTTAAACAGCCAAATCATTTCAGACAGCAGGAACAGTTGGTAATTACTCTGTGCGACGTCCGGACTACAAGGTGAATGCATAAGAACCACCCAAACAAGCACTCGGAGCTTCTGGCGAGTCACTACCGATGGGTGCGATCTGACATTATTCTGATGAAACAAAATTCCCCACGGGGGGTTCTGGGCGATTGCTCCATCCAAAGTTTGACCGTAGAGCAGCAAATGAAAATAAAATGTCTTACAGTTTGAAGCACAAACTCGGAACAAGAGGTGTTATGCTGAGAAGGTAATGTCCAAATAAACCCTTAAAGACAAAGACTGGCAAAAAGAATTATGAAATATACTCGTAAAGATCCATTGATTCTTTGAAATCTCTATCGACTTGTTCTTCGAAGGTGAGGCAATCCTCAACTCAGTTGGATGGCCAAGCGGCGCAGAAATTGGCTTCATTTGGTATTGCCTACATCTCTAAGTATCCGAGACAATTAAGTAGAAGAAGAAGACGAACTAATTTTCACACAACTGAATAGTTTTCTATCAAATATAAAAATTCTCTGTTTTTTTTTTTTTTTTTTTTTTTTTTTAAAGTATTTTTAAATAATTAAAATACTACGCTTTCACGCTTTGTCTAATTATGCATGTTGCGGCAAACAACGGTGTGCATTAATGTAAAAACAATGCCAGTGATTTCAGCAATTTGCATGTTGTACTTGTCAGTTTGGCCCGATGCAGTCAGAGGCTCGTGCATCTCTCCACTCGGCGGTTGGTTTAGCGACTCAACACAATTAGCCTCTGGGGTTCATTGCATTTTAATTGGCTTAATTCTATTTTTTATAAAGTTTGTGGTTGTTTTTGTTGTTGCTGGCGTTATATATGTACGCCGAGATGTATGTACACGTATGTATGTATGTGTGTATGTATGTAATTATAACAATGCTAGCAATGACAACAATTTGTGTATCTTGTTGTTAACCCAATCATTAGGCCATGTTTTCTAATACCAGAAGCAGCAGCAAATAACAACAACAAACACAATAAATACAACAAAAAACAATGAAATGACAGAAAACAGACTCAGTCTCAGTCGGCTAAAAAGTTGACGTTGGTTGTCATTTGCATTGTTGTCAGTCGCTGGCAAGCAATGCAGACAAAATCGTAAATTCAAATGCGTGCACACATACATACAAATATACTCAAGTACTTAAGTACCCTGCAGGGAGATATTAGAACAGTATGCAAAAATTCTATTGGCGTACAAATTAATTCAGTCTTGTCGTAGTTTACCGTGAATCTGCGCCGACGATAAGTCATGCACAGCGTGGTTTCAACGCTTCGAAGGTGGTGAATTTACCGTCGAAGGCAAACTGCGCACTAGTGGGACCATAAAGTGCATATAATTTAATGCTATAACCAAGAATTTAACTTTATGCTCTAAAAATGATCTCTGGCTAGTGATCGCCGTGGCATTCCAGTCAACCTAGAGGCCGAGGATGTCTAGCCGAGAAGCTCAATTTTCGACAACGTTTTGCAACAATTTGGGCCGTATGCCAGCAATAACGCGCCGTATATTCTCCTTCAAATCTTCAATCATCACGGGCTCATCTGCGTAGGCAAGCGACTACACATAACCTCACAAAAAAGTGTACTGCGGGCTACATCGCACGGTCTTTGGCGCCTCCGACGCGAGATAATGCGCGCACCAAAAGGTTCCTTTAATAAATTGATTATTTGGCTATATGGAATGTAACGTTATCTTGTTGGAACCAAAGGTAGTCCACATTGACATTCTCCAATTTAGTTAGGAAAAATTAATTTATCATGGTTCTGTAGCGTTCGCTATTTACTGTTAAATTTTTAAAGAAATTTTGGAACAATGTTTTCATCTTCCTATAGACCAAAGAGTGACGACTTTTTTTAGGATGTAACGGCAATAACAACTGGTGGCTTATAATCACTCAAAAACTTTGTTTATTAACATACCCATTCAACCAAAAACGAGCTTGTGAATATCGCGTTCATTGATCATCTCGTTTTGGAACCCGCGCTTGTGCGAGTTTATTTGTTTAACCCGCAAACTAAGATCCAAATTTTTCCCTAAATTGAATAGGAACAGCTCAAAATGCAGCGCGTGATGGCGGGTGGACTCATTCGGAACTTCTTCGATACAACACCGCCTTCGTTGTGCACTCTCCGGCAACTCTGAGGATACGCATTAAACGTGGTTCGAAACACCGACTCTGCTGTGTGATTATGTCGATCGTATATTGGATGCAGTGCGCGGCAGGTCGCACGAACAGTTCAATATTCTAGTAAAGAACTCTCGCGATTTCCAAACAATGTTCCGGTGTAGATCTGTTCACGGTTCGATTCTCGTGGAACACAAAGCGGTTTTTATTTTATTTTATTTTTTTTTTTGTTGGCGAAGTAGAAGTTTAAGAGGACCTTCCCTTGATTTTGGATAAAAAAATCGATTTTTTTACGCAAAATAAAGAGATTTTGCAATACGATGAACATTTTTCAAATGGCAGCTTCTCGAACACACCTGTCTCGTGCACGCTGCGAACTTTCAAAAAAAAAAAGCTTTGAACGCGTTTTTCTCGAAACCATGTTTTCCGGTCTAACTTCAAGCCCCAGGCTTGATCTATCCGTCCGATTTCTTTTATCTAAAAACTGTTTCGGGTATATAGTTTTTTGTACGTGTTGAACCCAAGATTAGCATTACTAATTAATTATTTTTATATTTTTTTTTAAGGTAATGGAAGTGAAAAAAATAGCAAAAAATTTAACTTTGTAATTGCAATGAGAAATATTCAGAAAAATTTATCGTTAAACTTGTTTCACTTGAGATGCTGGAGGTAGAAAATTTCATGATCTTTAAGTAATGACAACGATTTTTTATTTCAGCCCACTACAAGTGGCTGCAGACTTGAAGTTGTTGGGCTATGTTTTTCGCGCAGAATGCGACGGGAAGCGCCATTTTGTAGCCGCCATTTAGAATTTCGACTATTTTTTTGCCGTTTTAAAATATCAAATAATAAACGTATTTAATTAATTTAAGGCCTCCCACAAAAAAATACAAAATTTGCCTGATTTTTGCCCAATAACAGGCGTTAGGTCCCCTTAACATATCTAAATGGACCAGTATAAAAGTAATATAAAGCTGTTGTATAGTCGCTAGTATTTTTTCCTACTGGGTAGATATGTATTTAGTATATCTGTGTACATATATTAGCCATTTGTGCGTCACCATAAGGTCTGATGTCTGGCATTAGGCATTTCTACATAATTTATGTCTTTTCAGTTGACAATACTTTCATTTTATTATGATTTTCTGCACTTTTTGTGAGCGAATGTGAAATCCTTTAATTAAATCTAATTACACTTACTTTGTATGCAATTTAATCTATTGTCTTTTCCATTCTTATTATTCTTGCAGAGCTCTTATACAGGTGCGTATTTACGACAGAGGTTAAATATATTTCACAATGGTATGGATAAATTCAACGTTTTTACAGGTATTTTCTTTCAAGAATATACATATATATTTATTAATTTACATATACACAGATAGTGACTGATTTCGTTTTTCGATTTTTAGATAATAACGATAATAACGTTGCCTTATATTGCAGTGCTCTTCTAGTAAGGGCTGTGTTGGCTCTTCTTTGGCTTTTTTCAAGGCTCATAATGTAGATGAAGGTCAGAGTTTTTAGTGCAAGATCAATTCAGTGATATTAATAATTTCAACAACTTTTTATATTTGTCAATTAAAATTTTTGTTTGAAAAAACTAAGGCTATTACCGAATGAAAAGTTCTTGTTTTAAAACTTGGTCCAAAGAAAGTCGTTCAAATGCTAATAAGTTCAAGAGACAGAATAATAAAAAGTCTATGAGGCCTTTTGATACCTTTGAAGATAAGAAAACTAGACCAAACCATTTTATTATTCCGAAAAATTGTTCATATCCTCCTTAGAATGTATGTAAACATCAAGTAATAAGTTCGTTCGGTTTTTTATTGATTTTTCAAAATGTGATTACTTTGTGTACATTTATCCGTTTTAAGTCAAATATGCGCCGTTTTGCTCGTAAACTTATTGCCAACGAGATTTTAACTTCATTATACCCCTCTCGTAGAAGACTGCGTCTGTATTGGCAAAAAACTAGGAGAGCCAATTTTCACAGGCCTCTTTAGAGGGCAACTTCTCACCATTAAGCGCGTTCGCCATGAACGAGAAAAGATGGTAATCACTTTGTGTCAGGTCTGGACTATTAGGTGGGTGCATTAGGACCTCCCATTCAATCTCCTGGAACATCTGGCGCGTCACCAAAAACGTGTGTAGCCTGGCGTTGTTCTGATGGAACACAATTCGGTCTCTGTTGATCGAAGATGTCCTCTTCTGGTTAAGTGCTGCATTCAAGCGGTCCATTTGTTGACAGTAGGGGGCCGAATTGAGCGTTTGGCCATAGGGGAACAGCTCGTAGTAGATGATTCATTTCCAATCCCACCAAACACACAGCAAAACATTCCTGACCGTCAATCCGGTCTTGGCCGCCGTCTGGGCCGCTTCCCCCAACCTTTGACCACGATGTTTGCGCTCGATGTTGTCGTAAATTACCCATTATTCATCGCCAGTCACAGTCCGCTTCAGAAACGGGTCGATTTTGTTGCGATTCAGCAGCGATTCGCAGATGGAAATGCGGTCCATCGTCATGTTTTTTCATTATGAATGCAAGGTTTGTGTAAATGGTTCCAAATGGTTTTCTGGCTCATCGTTAGTTCCTCTGCCTTAGTGTGTATAAGTGTTCACGTGACGGTCTGTTTCCACTATTTCCATGATCCATGAGGTCGATCGCAACAGATCTCGCAGTGCTCCTTCATCACTGCGCACGCGCCTTTTCCTATTCATTAAAACAAACCAATGCGAATAGAATATCATTTTCCATTGGACTTCGTCTATTACGTTTTTTTTTCTCTAGAGCTTTTTCCTCCGATCCAGCGCAGACTTTGTATTCTGTTGCGCCGAACATTGACGATGTTATCGCAGAGCCAATACGAATGGCATTAAAAATTTTTGAGGCATTTTTCTTTCGAGCGCTCTAAACGTCGTAACTCAGCATGTGCGTTTTAAGGGCTCTACTGCTCATCTGCCTGCCGAGTCCATAATATTAGCTTTTTGGATGTCGATGTTTATGGCGATGCCAAGGTAAATAAGTTCCTTGACAACATCGAAAATATAGCGGTCCGATACAACATGCGATCTTAGACACTGTGCATTCCTGTTCTAGACGGCTTTGTTCTCGATTACGACCAGGACCCATCCTCGTCGATTACTTTTCAATAGCTGAAAATGCAGTAGTAACAACTTGCTTGTAATGTTGAATGATAGCAATGTCATCTGCATATGCGAGAATCTGAAAACTTGTATAGGAAATTGTGTCTTCCACCACGAAGTTCAAGAGGTCACATGATAAAGAGTCATCTGGAGTAGTATTGTCAGTCTCGTAGAGATCCTCGCTCCTAGATTGTCAGTGCTGTTATTTGAAAAAACTGCATCATCGACAAATATATGTTGAATGTTGATATGTTTTCTGTCTCTCTTTTCAAGAATTAGGCGTAACATGAAAATCTGATTGATGTTGGACTTACCAGCCCTAAAGTCGCACCGAAAGGTCAGAGTATAGGCAAACGGATTTAATATTTCCCCGGGCACAAACGACAAGACTTTCTATGAGATGGCGATTATCATCGGGTCAACATTTTTCGGTAGAGAAAACTTAAGTTGCCAATCATTGGCATTGACAGCCAGTCTTGAATAAGTCCGCAGGTAATGCGGCAGAACTGGTTGGCTTATTGTTCTTTAATTACGCATATACACCGCCACTGCTTCCTTCAACAGCGGGCTTGGAGAAGTGCTCTTTTCATAGCCCCAAGTGCGCACTGATTGTTCGTAGCCAGATGAACTTTTTATTTCGACAATTTAACACTTTGGGTGCGGAATCTTGGGTCATATGCTTGGCGCTTGGTGGTCAAGTTTTCGAATATCTATTCTACCCCATAAAACCTCGAGTTCCGCTGCTCTGGTTTTCTCCCCGCCGAAAACTCAGAAAAGTAAGGTTTTCTTTATATGAGAGAATTGTTCTTGTGCTTCTGTTTCCAATTTGAAATTTTCTCGTGTGAGAGATATTTTTTATCTGAAGGGTGATTTTTTAGCTGTTATCTTTTTGGCAACATGGAGTGAAGATCAGCCAGAAGCATTCCAAGAGCTTCCAAGGCATCCAGAAAAAGTCCCAGCTTGGTGCGGCTCATGGGCTGGTGGTATCACTGGACTGTACTTCTTTCAAGACGATTCGAATCGCAACGTAACCGTGAGATGATATCAAACTTCTTTTTGTGGTTTCAACAAGACGCTGTTACATGCCCCACAGCACGCGTAACAATGGACTTATTGAGAGGCGAGTTCGGTGAACTTTTCATTTCACATTCGGGACCGGTCAACTGGCCGCCAAGATCGTGCGATCTAACGCCTCTGGACTATTTTTTGCAGGGTTAAGTTTAATCTAATGTCTCTACAGACAAGCCCGCTTCAATTGACGTATTGGAGTACAACATGAAAGCATTTATTCGTAAGATACCGGCTAAAATGTTGGATAGAGTATGCCAAAATTGGACTATGCGGATGGACCTTTTGAGGCGCAATCACGGTAAACATTTGCTAAAATAATCTTCAAACATTAAATCATATGGACCGTTCTATCGACACAAATAAAGATTTCATGCATTTTTCTGAATTTTATGCTTTTTTTTTAAAACTTTCCTACAGCTCTTAAAAAATCACCCTTTATTTAGCTATATTTGGTGAGTAAAAATACTTTTGGGTATAATTTTGGATTTTATCTACCAGGCAGTGGTGGTTCTTGAGTTCGAACCATAACTAAACTTACATCCAAAATTATTTCAAAAATGTCAACCCCTCCGAGGCCAAATCTGGTATAAAATATATATCTCCCCACAAAAATTCATTAACCGTTTCTGTAGGTTCTTCCATTTGTTGGAAAAACACCAAGACAAGTTGGTTGAGTAGGAGCGCAGCCGTTGTGGTTCAATATTTGAATTTTTAACTGTTAATTGTAGTTAACTCGTTGACTATATTGCCTCGGCGAGTGACCAAAGGTCAATATTTTTGCACTTGAAATCGAAAATGTACACGCGTATGTATTTTTAATCTAATAATTACACTCAAAGAAAGTGAAATGATTTTAATAAAATTTAATGATCTCAAACTTACTAATCAAAAGCCACATATACCAGGTATGTGGATAAGGCGCCGCCTGCAGCAGGTGTTCAAATGTGATTAAACAAGTTGGTAAAATTATTTTATCAGCTCTAACGTTACTTTGAAATATTCGAAATGAATAAAGCATCATAGGACGCTGCAATTTTTACCTGCTTCTGGGAATAAAATAAAGTTAATTTCTTTCATTATGCAAACTCATGTAGGTACGCAGGTAGGCAGAGTGGTTGTCTTAAGACGCACTTAGGTCTATAGGAGACCAATCATGACACATCTGGGACCATAGTACCCTCAAACTACTATAACCCCTCTGAACCAAGCAGTGGTCTTAATTAAGCTAATTAAGCTTTGAGATATCGCCAAGAAACCCGCTGCCGACAGTTGCGAATCTTGTCCTGTGCAATGTTTTACAGCCGCATATAAGATGCTTGCCTGTCTCTTCTTCGATCTTGTGGCAACTTGTTCAATAATTGTTTTATGGTACCCATTGTATATCGCAGGCAACTGCTATTGTAGGGCTAATATCATTTCTAGTAAATTTCAAAATTCGGCATGTGCCACCCACATTTAGTTCTGGCCACGTTTGCTTGCTTATTGTGCAAATCAGGGATTGTTTACCACAAAAATATTTACAAATAGGCAAAGCTAGTTCATCTGCCGCACAGTTAAAAGGAGTTCCCTTTGTCCTAGAACCCAAAGCAGAGTTATCGTACAAGACGATGCTAGCCTCGCAAGCAGATCAAGACACGCTTTCATTATCTTAGATGCGATCCTGAATGGCTTTAGAGTCGCTTAGCTATCTGTCTGTATATATAAATGTTTTTTTATAGTAAAAATCCTCTTTGCCAGAACCAGTAGGCTCTCTTTAATTGCTGCAATCTCTGCCTGAGAATCACTGCAATGAAATAGAAGAGACATCGCCTCCTACTCGATTTTCTCATTTGGAACCGACCGTATAGACGGTAATCCCTGCGTATTTGTCTTCTTCCCTTTTTTCCCCGTTCTTTTCAGAAGAATGTGCTTAAATTTATTTGTAGAGGAGGTCCATAATATTGGAAAGCAAAGGGATATTATTACAGGTAGCCAACAAGAAGGTAGTGTCAGCGTGATGGCCGGATTCGCAGCCAGTTGCTTGCAGTATAAGTCTATGGACAGCTAAGGTAGTATAATATTTAGTGGCTTAGTCCGGACCAATCTCTCGTCAACGCAAGCAATTATTTTGATCTTCCGCTTGACAATGCAATCTGTCGCAGATCGAGTTTCAAGTTGATAGAACTACCAACACACAGTCAATGGTTTCCTGGAGCTAATCATTGGTTGACCAATTCATTTGAAGCCTTCCTTGCCAACTATTTGCCAGGTAGCTGACTAGATCTTTCTCCGCATACTTTGCCTTCGCTCGGCCATCGACACAAGGGAATGGTCATTCTCCATCAGAAGTATCTTCTCATTTTGCATCACCTTTCCTGTATGGCTTAGTGCCGGTAGCCGAGGATGTAGTTGCTTTCCTAGAGCTAAGCTTCGCTAATATCTCAGAGCTAATACTAGCCTATGCACTCAGACCAAGCTTGACTCCTATCTATACGCTGGCTGATTTTGAGCTCGTTAGAACACTGCTCTCGTTGAATGGAGTAAAAGCATAGTTATTGATGGATCGGGCCCATATTCAGTACGATTTTTTACTTAAACGTGGGAGTTACAAGTATCAATTTGTCTCGAATGAGCTTGTGCTAACCCCATATCTATCTCGACTTTTTCTGGACCTATGCAATGAGTCCTTAATTCCTATCCTCTCATACATGTCACAACCAAACCGCTCCAGTATTTTACGGGTGGATGTGGATCTCCATATATTCTCATCTATTTATTGAAATTGTATTTGAAGCTCTCACCTAATCATTCTAATGGGTATGGTATTAAATCTGCTTCGGATCGGTCAAGAAAAGCTCTCAACGTCGCGTACTGGAAGGCTTTTTCGGGTCGGGAACACATTATGGAGATGCCGCGTTCACCATTCAAACAGCACCGAACCATACACCAATTGTATGCGAGTTTATCATTTAAATGCTGCCTGGTTGTCCGAGTATTTGTTTGTTTTCTGTATCCTTGAGTAGTAGTAGCTTGGATCAAATCAACGTTTATCGGTGGTACAAAATGTTCTCAGAAGGCCGAGAAGATATGAACGACGAAGAGCGTGCCGGACGCCCGAGCACTTCAACAACAGACGAAAAAATTAATTGCAGAGGCGTGGTGCATCATGAGTTCTTGCTACAAGGTAAATGGTTATTTACCTGCAAATTATGCGCAATTTGCGCGAAGCAATCCGCCAGAAACGCCCGGATTTGTGGAAGAATAAAAATTGGCTTTTGCACCACGATAACGCCCCTGCTCACACATCGTTGCCTGTGGGCTGCTTTTTGGCCAAAAACAACACACTTATGATGCCGCAACCACCGTATTCCCCAGATCTGGCCCCTTGTGACTTTTTCTTGTTCCCTTAACTGAAGAGGCCCATGAAAGGACGACGTTACGCTACGATTGACGAGATAAAGACGGCATCTAAGGAGGAACTGAACAAGATAAAAAAATATTTTTTGAAGTGCTTCGAAGATTGGAAAAACCGTTGTCCCAAGTGCATAATATCTCGTCGGGATTATTTTGAAGGGGACAAAATAGATCTTCGTAAATAAATAAATAATTTTTGAAAAAAACACAAAATTCGCGATATTTTTGGAACACTTTGTGACCGCTTTAGCGATTTTCGGCCAAGTTCCTCCAACAATTCGTTATGTGCGTCTTCCTTTTTTTCAGTAAATGGAAGGGTCTATAGTTTATACTAGAGCTCAAGATTTTCTTCGAACATTTTCGAGCGGCTCGATCGATTGAGCAACGTGTACTCGCACACTCGTTCATTGCTTCGAGCTTGAGATCTAGCAGTTCGAGTTTTTTTGAGTATCTTGAATAAAAAAATTTACTTTTTTCCTAGAACTTTCATCTATAATTTTAATTTTATTTATGCAAAGTTCCAAACTCATTGAAATACTAAAGAAATTTTAACAAAAAAAATTGAAAATTGTAAAATTTCAAACTATCATTTTGGCAGTTGAGCAATGAACGAGTACCGAGCGAGTATCGAGCTACTCACAGTGCTTGGTATCCAGGTATCTAGAGCTCTAGTTTATACCAAGCCGCCTTCGAACGGGTGATGCTTTCTATGGCGAACAAATCAGCTCTTAATATGTTTGAACTGGTCTTATAACGTTCGTATGCATCCACTTGACTATATGGGGTTTATGGCACCAGTTCCTTTTAACTCTGCCTCTTTATATTTATTTATTTATTTTTTATTTAAAAAATACAATTAAATATATTTACTTGTAAAATATATTATTATTAATTATGATAACTCTACTAACATCTCTACTTTCTTTGCAGAATTCGATTCCTCCTCGGCGAATGGTTCAAGTTTGGATTGTCTGAATTTGATTGTGCAAAATATAAATCGCAGCGCAGCGCAAAGTGCCCCAGCAGCGAAACCTCTTACAAGCAATCCTAATAAGAATAGCAGTGCAGGTGGCAATAGTAGCGGTGTTAATAGTAGCTGTAGTTTAAACAACAATACCGCCAACAATGTGCCCGTACCTTCCTCGCCGTCAGCGGCAAGCATCGGCAGCAACATATCCCAAAGTTCGTCGCAATCCTCGTTAAATGCGACATTCAAGCAGAAGTGTACGACATAAAAGTAAAATTCTTGATTAAGGTGACCAAAGCTAAGGGCAGTTGAGAGTGACTGGTGTAGTGATGAAAGGGTGCTTCTTTTAGACTTGTGGTTTTCAATTAGCCAAAACTTTTCCCGGGGTTGATCTTTGTTGATTTAGACTCAGATTGGTCTCCCATTCCGCAATGAACAGACTAAGTCGGAACATCGTTTGCAAATCGTGCAAATTTTGATACCAAAATATTTCCAAAGTACTTTTTGGTGAATGTTGCGGGAGTGACAGTCCTTGGTCGGATAAAAATCCAGGTCGTTCCGGTATAAAGATCCGACTGTTGCAGCAACTATTGGATTTTAGTCGCCTCTTACGACAGGCATGCCTTACCGCGGATAAAGAACCCCTAACCCGCCGAGTAACAAAATATGGGCTCGGCTATTTCGGTTGAGAAAATCTTACAGCAGAGTTGGTAACTCAAGCAACTATGGACGGTTGAGCACCGCGTTTACTCTAATGAATAAGGTGCATTCTCAGAGACGCCATACAGTGCGCACCGTATATGCTTTATCTTCCGTGGAACAGATTATTGAATAAGACGCGAATGAGTCCATCCGCCATCACGCGCAACAATTGAAGCTGAGCCCATCAATTTTATGGGAAATTTTATAACAACCCTTTCGTGCAAGTATTGAAGCCGAACGACCATCAGACACGTCATACGCAGGTTAAATGGGTTCAAAACTAGATAGGGCTATTAATCCCGATTTTCACAAGAAAATTTTGCTCAGCTATAAAGCTCACTTTTAGTTGAATTGTTACGTTAAAAACCAAAATTGCCACATTGTCAGAGTGCACAAGTCATTATTGAGACGCCCCAACATCCCTTTAGTGTGCCCCATGGGCAGAGGGAATGAATCATTGATCCATAATGGAAGTCCTTTGGTTCCAGTATGACGGCGCTACATGCCCTACAGCCCAAGAAGCAATATATTAAAGGATGAAAACTTGTGGTGAGCTATTTTTCGCGCCGTGGGTCTATGGTGGGACCTCCAGAAACTTGTGATTTAATACCGCTTTGTGTGGATATATGATATCGGCTAAGACGATTGACTCCTTCGAAGGGAATAAAGAGAGGGAGAGAGCAAGTTATTGGGGTCATATTAATTGCTGCAAAAAGTGATCGGAAATTACACCGCGGTGGTCACTTGCGTGAAATTAGTTTCACAACATTATGGCAAATACCTACCTTTAAAATAAAGCTCACTCTTAGCAATAACATTAACTTATATGCCTTTTATTTCCTCTTAAAAACCACATGACTAAAAAACACCCTTTACATTTTGAGACTATAGATATTTGATTATTTCTAAATTTTGCAAATTGCTAAGATAGAATAACTTATTGGTCTGTTAAAACAGTCTGGTCACTCTAAAAATACAAAAGTATATGTTAAATATAGAAATATGTAGCTTAGAGCATAATTAATGTGTAAAGAAAATAATGTATACTTTTTATTTGGCGCCTTATAGCGGCTAAAACGATTTTCTTGATGATTTTCGAACAAAATGGAGTGGCCAACAGTTTTGATACTAAGCCGGCACCGCACGACGGTTGAATTTCTATTAGCAACATTTTATTTCTCGTCAGAAATACACGCGGAGAGTTTGAGAGCCGCTAAGGAGCAATCGCAATTAGAGAAATTAATTTCAAAATTAAATTAAGCTCTGTTGTGGGGGTTACCGATCCGACGCATTGGTAACACCAAGACCCATTGGGTTGTCACAAGATTTTGGTTAAGGCTTCGTTATTCAAACGAGAACCTCACTATATTCATGACTAGAACCAAGCAGTGAGGTGCCAAAATACCGAAACCTAGCACTGTCCCAAAGCAGGAGAATCGCATAAGATATGCCTGAACGTCTCCCACTCTTCATGCTTCATGCTTGCAGTTTCTGTAGCATCTTCTATAGACACGCCTAGTCACTCTGCATTCCGTTCTATTAAATAGTGAGCTGTCAATACTCTTGATACTTTGGACATGTTCCCGTTTTAAGGAGTGCATAGCTCGTGATCTCTTCGTATACCATTTTGAGCGGGCTTTACGGCAGTTTGCAGTTTCATCTCTCTTTGTGAAAATTCCTTGAGAAGATACTTGCACGTGACAAAATACAAAAGCCATATTAGCGCGCTCTCACAGCAGGGAATGTCAAGGCCTTCGAGTGTATTTCTGACTTGAAATAGCAGCTTCTCTGCAAAATTCACCGTCTATTCGGAGCCGGCTTAGGATAAACAGCAGGTCCCTCCATATCGTTGGAAAAAATATCAAGACGCAAAACCACAAACTGGAAGAAGAGTTTGAATGAAAATCGTTTATAGCTGTTACAAAGCGTCATTTATATATTTATTTAAATGTATATTATGTATTACATAAATTAATTTGGGTAGCTTAGATTTAGATGATCTAAAATTTAGTAATTTAGCTAAATATTATAGTAATATTTTTTTTTTAAATAAAAACATTAGTATTTAGCGATGGAAAATAACAAAGGATACAGTGTTTATACAAAATTGAATTTCTCGAATATTTACATATATACTTTCCTATAATAAGGAAGCCGCAGAAACTTAGTTAATTTTACTTGTTATTTATTTAAATTAGATTTAATAATAATTTTCAAAAATGTACATAACTTAATTAGCTAATAAATAAAAAGAGAACTTAAAAGTAGAAAAACATATATATATATATTTAATTACAATAAACTAATCCAATTCCAATTTCCGAAACGAGCCACTCACGCCACTCAACTCGCCCATTTGCCATTCCTTCCTATTACCGATGCGTAGCTTTTCATTTGTGCCATAACTACTATCCACCTTGAAGTGATCCTTATATTTTAACAATTTCGCTTCGAACGTTTTTATGGCCTCGGTGACATAACCATTGCTGCCACCATATTCAACCGTAACCGCATCGCGTGGTATGTGTTCCAAGAGGTCTTCGGCCTTTTTATGTGCTGTGAACTATTAGAAGGTGAATAAAATTTGAATTTATTATAAAACTTATAGAATGTTAAGCATGGTAAATGAAGGGTATCAAGCTCATCAGCAGTTCACGGCATGTCGGTACCAATAAAATACTACAAACCTGAGATTTTTTTTTACGGTTTTCGAAAAAATTAAAATTTTAGCAAAATCAAGTGCCAATTCTTTCCTAGGACCCAGTGAAGCGTTTGCTCGAAATTTCGGATATGATTCAGGAGACCACTATAGCAGCTTCTAGAAAAAAGTAAGAGCTTTAGAGCTTGAGCTTTTATAAGCTCATAAAGCTCTTCAAAAACAGCGAGTATACGCACAAAATTTCCGTTTTCTAAAATGTACAGCATTGTAGGATTTTGAAACAATTTTGAAATAATTGTATTTGAACAACTCACTTATTTTCGTATAGAATGTTTTTAAAAATTACGAAACTCCTAAGTCCATAAAAAATTGAATTAGGATATAAAATTAAAAACAAATGTTTAAAATTGTGTCAAAATCATATAAAACGGTGCATTTAAGAAAACGCGAATTTTGAATGTTTTTCCACTGTTTTTGAAGAGTCTTATGAGCTCGTAAAAGCTCAAAGTCTAAAGCTCTTCCTTTTTTCCTAGAAGCTACTACTGTGGTCTCCTGAATTCAACAAACAGAAATTTTCGAACGTTACCTTTCTGCTTCCAAAGCGTCTTATGAACCTTAGGTCGCAGGACACGGTCCGGAGAAAAATTCTTGATGTTGATAAATATAAATTTTAAATTCTTTTCGTTAACGATAATAAACAGAGATCGTAAATTTGTACCAACATTGCCGGTCACGATCAGCTCGATACCTTTCTGGAGCCGATTCACTATGCTTATCATCTCATAGCCTTTATTGTATCGTATTTTCGAAAATACCTTAAAAGACAGGCTGCTGGGCATAAAAGACGATATGAATTTGAACACCGACACACCTTCGCCACGCATATTTATCACATGAACTTCATTCAATTTCAAGGGCATACAATACTCTGCTGCGGTGTAGCATTTCTTCAACAGAAATGGATCGAACTGCATCATCAGTTCAACGCCCACATCACGACAGTCTATGATGTATGTCAGGCCCACGATGCTGGCATTATCGTTCTCCATGGCCAATGTTTCGAACAGCAAAAATAGTAATTTGAAAGCTAATCGCGGATTGGATTTTTTCGAATCGATTTTGCAATATTGTGAGATCATCACGGCGGATCCATCCGGTGCTATCGGTTTATTTGGTATGATGTGAATGCTAGAAAAACGAAAAACATTGTTAATGGACCTCAAAAAATCACTTTTAGTGAGAGATTTAAATATTTTGATGAACTTTTGTGATTTTCTGCTTCTTATTCTTTAATGGCGTAGGCACCGCTTACGGTATTTTCGAAAAAAAAGTTTGAAAAATTGTAGGGTAAATGCACCATCGTGGACACTTTCCATTTGTAACTGGTGAAATGTAATTCTGAGCTGCTACTTTAGGTATACCAAAGACGCTTTCGAATCGTGGTAGGAAGTTGTTGCAAACTGCCACGCTTACTTCTATTAGAGCGCCTATAGTAGGCATCTGTTGCGGACGTTAAGCAACACCAGTCAAACCATTATATAGGTGCTCAAGACAGAAATGTCTTTACCATCTGTCGATGATCTGAGTTTCGGTCTCGTCTACAAAAAATATTCGAACATTTTTATGCACTCTATAATCCCTGCTACAAAAGTCCATATAAGACTGGGATTGCGTCGATATCAAACGTACATAAGAACAAAATCATGACCAGACAAAATCCTGAAAGTTGAACATCCGAACAACAGACAAACACGACAACACTGCCAATAAAAAAATATTTCATATGGTAATCCATTCTTGGATATTGTACATTATTATCAAGCTTCTGCTAGATCTCTGGGCTTATTTTATGCCAAACTTTTCAGTTGAAGATAGTCAAGGTATTTGGTTTTGATGAAACACAAATGAATCGAATGATCGAGAACTTTTTGTACGGATTTAGTCATATCTAGAATATGTCTGACCAGCATTTGGACTTTGTATTTCGAGATATTGTGTGTTGGGATTTTATTACATTTCCCTTAAAAAGCCGAGAAAAACCACTATTGAAGATGTCAAAAATGGTTAACATTCTGGACTGCTATTGAAACTAGCACCACACGGTGTGCTACGACTGTATTAAGTGGTCGGGTAGCATGTCGGAAACCAAATTTTATACAGTGCCCGCAGTTGAAGAATATATTTTGACCACTACTATCAATGATCTTTAGTCTGGCTCTTCGGCCTGCCGATTTTTGTACCATCAAAAGAGTTTAGCAGAGGTTGAAAGGCTATATGATGCGTGCATCGAAATTTCCCAACCAACCGCCATCAATTTTCGACTGAGCATCAAAGAGGAAACCCAACCCCTTTTCTGTTAATCATTTCTGGAGGATTTTTTTTAAGAGCTTGTGAGCTCACTCTCACCGTATACTCAGCATCAACTTGTCTGCCGTCAATTCGGTCTTTGAACTCATTTGCGGAGGATCATTGGTTTCCGACTATGATCTTTTTATTTAAATTTTCATATTTAACTCATTTTCCTTCGCCTGTGAATTGCTTCGATTTTGCTGCATTTCAACAGTGTTTCACTGATGGTTATTCCGTCAGTCTTCTGATATCTATGCCTGTCTTACAAGTTGGGAATTTCATCTATCTTTTAAGTGACTGGCCGAGGAAAAGTAGTCGTCGCGTAAAACGATGCTCGAAGCTTAGGAGCACGTGTTATAAAGTTTGAAGTTTATCTAGAGTTCTGAACAGCAAAGCTCCTAGGCGTCTAAGGTGAGTTCTGTATATAGAAGAGGTGTTCCAACGTTTCATTTACATCAAAAGCACTATTATTTCTACATGAGTCACCATTACTAATATTCCATGCATGCGTTCTTAAGACCCTCTAGCTTACACTGATGTGCCTTCTTGATCTACACAGAGCTTTTAGCAACTTTCGTATTTCTTTTATTGGTTCGGGCGACAGATTAGTAGTCTCATAAACTTTTTTGCACTTCGCCACCATGTTTGAATAGCTTATCTGATAAGTTATCGTCTTCGCTACCCTACAGATCTTTACGAGTGCAGCCATCAGGTGACAGTCTGTCTATAGTCATGGATTGCAGTTTCGAGCTCGAGAGGTAAGATCTCAGATCTTGAAACTTTTGGAAAGCTGCTTAATTTTTTGTAAAATTTTCGAACATTTCCATTTGTTCGCCAAATTCTCAAGTTTCTCTTCTTCTCTGTTTGCATCTCCCTTCTTTCTTTAACTCTCAGTAGCATTTCCACATTGTTTGCGTTGCGGCAGATGAGAACGTTGCGAGATAGACAGTTTTTTTCTCTCTTCATCATACCAGCTCTTCTCCTGTCGGTTTTGATTACAGACTACTGACGTAGAAATGTAAAATCTTCCCTTATTTGCAGAAGGGCATAGATACAGGCAGTTAGCGGCTACAGAAAGATAGTGGCCCGAGTAGATGTTAGAACTATGAGTAGGCACATCTAAAACACCGGAAAAGCTTCGACTGTCTATCAAAACATGCACGGTCTGGTCTCAAATCGTTCGATCCGATGACAATCAAGTAGCTCGAGGGATATTTTTGTACCGCAATCTGGTATTACATATAACTTTATAGGGAGACTTGTTTCATTAAGGGAATTCGTGTCATGGAGGCTGGATATTTCATCCGTTCTACAGTTCTGGCTTTAAGGCGCCCAGCACAATTTCGATGTTGCGACAGAGGCAGCACTGATAGCTGCGTTCTAGGCGCTCATAGAAATCGCGATTGGTCACATCGTTTTATTCTGCCGTCGGGGTATGGGCGCTAATCTAATAATGAATCGTGGCAAAGCATTAGTCCAGCAGAGTTAACGATAGCGCTCGATGTCTGAGACTCTCTCCCACCATGGCTCCTTAATATGGTCACAGTAATAAAAGTCGACGGTCGTAATATCCGATTGATTAACATTAGGTACAGCCACTCGAAAGACCCAGTCCGAAAAAAATACAAAATTTATACAAAATTAATAAAAAAAATTAAGTTAATTTTTGCGGTTAAGTTAATAATTGCGTTCGCCCCTCGGCAAGTAATATCAATATCTGCCTTGAAATAAAGAGGTTTTTCATAGCAAAACCAACAGCCGTTCGGAGTCGGTTTATATATATGTATATATATGATTGGCACTTTGTAACCGCTGAAGTAATTTTCGGTCGAGATCCTTCTCCATTTTGTGATATTGCGTCTTGATGTTTTTGCAACCAATGACCAGACCTACAGTTTATACTAAGCAGCCTCCGAACGGCTTAGCTATCAAAGTTAGAAGCTCCCATCTGAGGCATTGCTAAGTTTTTAATTTCAGCTCTTCTACACGACGGATCTCAAATCCAGCGCGCACATAATCGCTTAGGCGAGAGGAAGTACTTGTTGGAAAACATTTAAACAGCGAGCCGCTTACTTAAAGACCGGCGCTCGCTCGTAATGATCTGTACTCCTAATGAACACAAACTACTCCGATCGGTTTTAGAGTACGCGGAAGCTTCCTCTTCTTTGGTCCGCGAGACACATCAAGGAAATACTTATACACTCGTATGGAAGTGGAAGAAATCGCGTATTTGGAGCGAATTTATAGTCAGCTATCGCCACGTTCCTCACGGTATAATATACTTATTACTTAGTTTATACGTATTTACCAATGATTTGATATGAGTATATACATATTTTTGTACTTAAATATTTATCCAGAAACTCACCCGGAACGATAAAACTCCAATAGCTCATCGGTCAAATCTCGCTCACCCAACACATCGGGGAATGCGCTCTTCAGCGAGTAATAATCATCAATGCGTTTTTTTGTCTCCTCCAAACTGAAACGGCACCGACGCAGGAATGCCAAAATCAATTGGGGATGTGAGGAAGCCTTCAAATGTGGCGACTTCTTAATCCATTCCTGTATGGTGAGAATTTGCTCGACAACAGTATTGGCGTCTTCCTTACAATTCGTGCGCGCCAATTCACGTAGCGTAGGATCGAGTTCGCGTAAATTTATTGTGGACATGATTTCCTTTCTCGGCCGAATGTTGGATTTTTACTTTCGCGCGACTAAAATCGAACTGAAGGCTGGATGTTTGCGAAAACTTGTATGCCGATTTTGATGACCTTTCAATGCGTGTAAGAGTGTGTATGTATGTGTGTGCGTGAGTAATCTTATCTGCAAATTAGTTGGCTGTAACTTGTGTGTGAATACGAAAATCTATTCGCTGATAAGATTCTGACGTATGTACAATATTATTCCTAAGTGGTGATATAACCCAATAAGCACAAAAGCGAAGGTGAACTCGAGAAAATGTTGTATTTTCGGGCTAAACAAATTTATGCACTGAAATGGCTAAAATTCACCACTGTAAAATTAAAACATTTTTCAGTCGTCGTGAAGCATCCTGTCGGACTGCAATACAGCAAAGCTGTTGGGACAAGGTAGTGATGTACAGAATAAAACCCATGCTCGTCGCTCAAGAACACCTTACTTTGCATAAAGATTCGGGTTTTAAGGCTTTTAAAGTTCAGTAAACACAAGTACTCAAGACGGCCGATCATCAACAAAGTCGTGCCTTTACTGATTCGGTTTTTGTACCAAAATAAATCGTAATTTCATCGAAAAATCATCGATTAACTGATGAGGCCCATACTCCGTATACATGATGGCTTCGTCGATAAGCAAAACTATGGCATCTGTTGCTCGAAAAACCCAAGATTTATTGTTGTAAAGCCGCTCCATCCTCAACGTATAACTATTTGGTGCCATTTATGATCTGGCGGGGAAATTAGAACAACCGTGACGGTGAGTGAGTTGCGCCGCAATTGGATGGCAATGATCTGAACAAGGTTTACTTTCAACAATACAGCGCTAGGAATCACAAAGACAATAAAACCATCGAGGGAAAGCTTCCGAGCCGCAAGTTTGACAACTTGCAACTGCTTCTTTTGGATCCATGTAAAAGATAAGGTTAACTGCAATAGGCCAACCCCGATTCAAGACCTCAAAGATGGAATTTGTAAAGCTATTGAGGGCATACAGCAGCGATTTTGTGATTTCGTGGTGGAAAATTTTATAAAAACGATACGGTACTAAGTGGATATGGAAGTGTAGCTATGGTGGCCATTTGGTTGATATCGTTTTCCATTTTTAATGGCATATCTTTCTCTTTACATTGAATCTTTCATTTCAAAAACTGTAATTATTCTTTGAATACTGAAGCAATTTTCGGGCGAGCTCCTCCTCCAGTTTGTGGTTTTGCGTCTTGATATTTTTCCAACAAATGTCGGTGATACGTTCGGAGTGCTTTACTTTCTCCGCCTCGATATTTACTTCAGCGAAAACGCGCTCTTTTCGATTTCAAGGCGAATGCGTTGTGTTTACTGGGTAGACACGAAAACAGGTGTTCAAAGCATATTATCAGCTATGCAAAGGTACTTTTCTCTATGCGTTAATACTTTATTGATTAAATTTATTACAAACAGTGACACAAACATTTCTTAATTACATACAATATGTGAATGTTTAGTTTATGTGCATATAACAACAATTTTAGGGTGTCTCCTTAGCAATGACTCATATCATAAAAAAAAATAGGGGAATCCAACACCAGATAAAAATCTTAACTGTGATTATTTATTTTTTCCACTTTTAATCTACAATCAACTGGCGAAAACTGCCTTCGGCGCCAAACTCTGCCTCAAAGGGCATAATCTCACCGGGTCTCAGTTGCTCAGCAGTGCCGTAATTCACCTCATCTGCGAAATAGCCACGATAACTCTTTAACAAATCCTCCATATATGAGACACACTCATGCAGATGACCATTGGAGCCGCCATATTCCTCTGGTAGACACTTTCGCGGTATGTATTGGTAGAGTTCATCCAAAGATTTAATCATATAGATCTGGTAAATCGTGTAAAGAACGAATGAGATAGTCTTTTGTCATCACATTTTTTCAAGCGTAAATAAATATGTGTGTATAGCACTTACCTGATTTGTCGGATTCATTTTATGACACACTGTCTTCAATAAACCCAACCACTTTTGCAATTTCTTCGGCGCATTCAAACAGTAAGTGACATTTATACGCAAGGGACAGCATTCGCTCATCCAATACCACCATTTTCGAAATAGTCCACCATCCAATTGCGCCGTATGCTCTATAGTCAGATTGGACATGTCGAATATTTGACAAACTCCTGCAATGGCGGCATTATCATTTTCCAACGCAAACACTTCCATGCCCATTATGTTGCAGGCCATTATCTCACGCATGTGATAGCGTTTCGGGCAACAACCGACACGGGTTATCATGATGGCAGCATGATCGCTGCAACGTGGTAGTTCCGGGAAGTACTGCAAGCTTTGGAGGAATGGCGAGAAAGAGAAAGCTATTAGTATAGTATTAGACAGACACTAAAGAGGAACTAGTTTAACTACAGTCGAGAGTTTTGGTGAACATAAGGTTCGTAATTAGGGTTAGTTATAGGGTTAGTTAGTTGAAGAAGTTTACATATGTACATATATAATTGATCGCCGAAAACCTCCTCCGATGTGCGATGGTTTGATAAGGAATGGGGCGACTGATACGGCCGCCGGGTAAACGATTAATTTCGGTTTACTAGAAAATCTTAAAATCGTTTCCAGAGTTTGCTGTCTGGTACATATATTAAATGGCTGAAAGATCAAAAAGTAGGGATCACCAGTGCAGATACCTACTTGCAGAAGGGTCACTCCTACACCCATTAAGTGGACGTAAGAACACTATTCAGTAATCGCCACGAAACAGCGCATCTCGGTCTGTGCTACTGACACGAGTGGAACGCCATTTAGAAAAGGTCAATGGGGTGAGTCGACAACGTTTGAATAAATTTAGATACTTGGTCTAAACAACACTCTTTCTGTGTATGACCACCACCTTTTGCTATCATCACCACTGCAAAATTTATGCATGCCATGAGTTCCCGCACGATTGTAACCACTTCATTGCATGCCTCCGACTGATCAACGGCTACCTAGACGAAAGCGCTGGTCAGGTGGTGTGCAGAAAATAGATACCGCTAGTTGAGGAGAGAAACGTAACACTTTTGCAAACAGAATGAGAGAGAGAAAGAGAGATGCATTCGAGAAGCCGAAAGAGAATTTGTTTGAAAATTCGATAAAAGATTGTGCCGGCTTATAGAGGGTTCTATGACCGGAATAATCTCATATCCATAGGAGCCTAACCAGTGATCTGGCATACTGAGTTTAAGAACAGAAAACTCCAGTCTGCCTAATTGTAGTGAAAGTAAAATCCCCGTTGCTGTCCAATTGGAGTCTCCAATCAGTTACGATGGAATAGAGGTTCCATAAACGGATTATAACAAAGCTCAACTGGCGAGGCATATGTGCTATTCACATATCAAAGCGAAATACAGCTATCAGCTAAGATGGGATATACAGATGGCAGTGTGGCGTCAGACTTGGAAGATTCACCAATAAGCAGATTTCCATATGACACCAACTGACACTGGAACGAAATAAAATACATGGGTTGAGCTGGTTTGTTCATACAATCCGAATTGATTAACGCAATCCAGTCCAAGATCAGGTGGAGAAGGTTTTGGCTACAGTAGATGTTGTAAATTTGCGCAACTTTCCGCCACTCGTACTCGATCATAATCACGTAAGCGGTTACTACACCAATTAAGAAGAAGAAGCACTGCGTACTGCCATTCGGTACATATCCCGGTTCGACCAGCATCCGAAAAAGTTATAGAAAATTAATTTAAATAAAAAATTAAGTTCAATTTTCTAATTGCGGTCGCTCCTCGGTAGAGATTGTCAACCCCTCCGAGTATATTTCTGACATGAAATAAAGGCTTCTCCTAAAAAACCATCGGAAGTTCGGAGGCGACTTAGTATAAACTGTAGGTCCCTCCATTTGTTGGAAAAACATCAAGACGCAAATCGCTTCAGCGGTTACATAATAGCGCCAATTATATATATATATTAGGGTTGTTCAGTTTACGGTTGCCTGTAACGGCAAACTTCATGGATTAAGGAGCCAAATCGTTTTAGCCGTGTCTGTGCGTCCGTTTCTCTGTGTATACGATAACTCTAGTAAATATTGAGATATTGTGATGATGACATGGGGCCACGCTCATTGACGCTTGTAAAAACTAAGCCTAAGCCACAAATAAAATGGGGTTAACTTTCCATCCTAGCACAGTTCAAAATCAATCCTACTGCGCCTCAAGTCTTACCAAAAATGTCATAGTTCAGAACTAAAACTAGAACTAGACCTACAAACCTCCCATATAACAGGCTTACTTTTGACCGTTCTATGGACTTAATCTAGATATCAATTGAGTATCCAATGTTTGGTATCACCCAAACTTAGCTTTCCTTACTTGTATTATTCACCGAAAAAGATTACCATTTTTGAACACTCAGACAGCGATTCACTAGCTGAAGAGCAAATGCGATACTTTGCAACTGTTGATTAGGTTAGGTTGAATTGGCTGATTCAGTGGTTCTCACTCGGACGGTATTACGACAATAGTGTTGCCAGACAAATCACATACGACTAAGTTGCACTGCTACACTCTTTATTGTGTCTTCAGTGTGAAGAACATTTAAGTTACTTTCTTTCTTCAAATCGTATCGACCCATTGACCGTTGCCAAAAATGTTCTTTGGCTGACGAATTCTATACAATCACAGGTTACATGCTTCATACATTCCCTATATTTCCTACACTTGTGATTCCCACTCAGACCTGTATAAAAGGCATTCGTCGCGATTCCTCTTTAATAGTTCTACACACAGCCTGAAATCCGACCTTTTTACCGTTAGTAAAAGCTTTCGAAGTTTGGCAACATAAATTACACAGAAAGCTTGCGCTATTATGCCGCAAATAGTCTACTCTCCTGACGAAGCAAGATTGCTACTTGCGTTTACATCACTTCTCTGAATGGAACTGGTGGTTCAATATTACGTTCTGTTATAAAAGAACACCCTTCTTAGCCAATTCTTTAGCCGATCTTCGATTCCCGTATGACCTGATGGCCGGTAAATGTAAAGTCTTCTATTTTCAAACCCTATTTTCATGCGACCACAGCCGACTTCGCGCAGGTTAGGTTGAGTTGCATTCCATATGATTGCTTGTAGTATCTTGTATAGGTCCAAAGGAAGGAAGTTCAGAAGAAATAGCAGTACTTTTGAAGTAGTTGTTGTCAAAGCTCCCTTTATCAAGATAGCAGGCGATCGTTGAACCCTCTCTAATTTGTTCCAGAAGATAATTTTATCGAGTACCGGCCACCAAATACGATTGGTATAATTACCCATGTATATATACAGTACACGATACTTGAACTTCTTCTCTATTGCAATTCGGTTACTGTTACTTTTGTTATAATTCTACAAATGCACAGCTATTTTTTGAGGCATATGTCCTTAATAAACACATACATTTCTATATATATGTATGTATATGCTTTCACATTTTTCTTTTTGTTCAAAAGGTAATACAGAAATCCTTCTCACACTTACCCCAAACGATTTATTGTTAACATCTTCGCATTCACCCGACGCAATGCCGAAATCTCCGGAAATCGGGTGATAAAAGTAAAGAAATCATCAATGCGTTTCTTGGTCTCCTCCAAACTGTAACGGCAACGTCTGAGGAAAGCGATGAGGAAGTCAGCCGAAATGCGTGCATGCAAATAACGTTGTTGGTAAATCCAAGTGCGTAAAATGACCAAGTCCTGAGTGATGCGCTCGGGTGTCTCATTTAACTCCTCTCGTGCGATTCTCGCCAATTCCGGTGGCAAAGGACGCATCTTTGCGTGTTTCTGCAATGATTTATGGCGCGTTGAACGAGAGTCTGAGCGTACCGAATTCTCCTCTGCAACTGATTTGCGATAACTGATAATTAACTAATTAGCATACTAATGGCTGTACGCTTATTTTGCTTCCGAGATACTTATTTTAATCGATGATGACAGCGATTTTATTGATATTATCAACGCGCTGGCGATGTTATTGCAATTCATTTTACTTATCTACAATAATATAGTATATGAAAAAACACCGTTATTAATTACAGAATTTTGTGCGTAGATTAAAATAACAATCTTTTTTCCGAAAAAAATAATAGAATTTATTTTATTACAAAGAAATGAAAAAAAAAGAAATTGAAAAAAGGGTGATAAATTAAGAAAAACAATGTCTAAGGGGATTAACAAAAGTTCGGCAAGTTGACCAAAAAAAAATTTTTTTAATTAATTTTGTATTTATTCGTAATTTTTGTCCACTTCTATCTTCTCTACATATTCCCCATTGATCTCAATGCATTTCTTAAGCCTATAGATCCACTTCTGAGAACAGTTTTCAAAATCTTGCTGTTTAAGCTTATAAAGTTCAGCATTGACCGCTTTAATTATCTGCTCGACTATTATTTTTTTAATTTTTATAAGTAACCAGAAATCATAAGATGCTATATCTGGAGAATATGGTGCTGGATGTATTCTTTCTATCCCAGAGATCGTCATAAAATTACTCGTTATTTCAGCAATGTGGGATGGCGCGTTGTCATGATGTCAAAAGTAGCACCGCAAATCCTCTTTCTTCCTGTTTTCCAACAAATTTTTGAAAAATTTTGATAAGCACTCTTCGGTATACCATTCTTCAGTTACCATCTAACCCTTTTCCAGTTGAACTGCAGCTACGAGTTTAGATCGGATGAAGTAAACCGTCATCATTACTTTTGCTGCTGATTTTTGTGGCTTAGACTTTACGGGTGTGGTTGCTCCTGTTGGGCTCCATACAATGGACTGCTGTTTGGTTTCTGAACCGAACTTATAGAACCAGGATTCATCACCAGTAACGACTTTACTTTATTTGCTAGATTAACCATTTTCGAATTTGTTAATGAAAAATTGAGCAAAATGCACTTGAGCCTCTTTTTGAACCTCATTTAAAATTCGTGGTACCCATCGAGCGAATTTAACGATACAGCCATGGCTTTTAAGTCCAAATCATTAGCGGTCATTTCTTGTATCAATCTTGGGCTTTCATCATTTTTGGACTTTACCGGAGCTACAGTGACGTCATCAGTGGAAGATTTTGGAGGACCTTAACTGGGGACTCGTTCACTACGGAAAAATGTCCGGCCTGTAATCTTCGGAATCACTTAGAAATAGTCCTTAAAGACAATGCAATCGTTCCATATGCTATTTGGCATTTACTTCATATTTTTATTGGCTATAAATTTATGGTCCTTTAAGCGTTGGCAACGGCGAATATCGCAGAGGATGGAACAAAGAGCTGTGCGAGTTATATGGTGACATTGATATAGTTCAGCGAATCAAGAAGCAGCGGCTACGCTGGCTAGGTCATGTCGTCCGAATGAATGAAAGCGCACCAGCTTTGAAAGTTTTCGATGCAGTACCCGCCGGTGGAAGCAGAGGAAGAGGAAGACCTGCACTCCGTTGCAAAGACCAGTTAGAGAAGGACCTGGCTGTGCTTGGTACTTCCAATTGGCGCCAAATAGCAAAAAGAAGAAGCGAATGGCGCAATGTTTTTAAATCGGCTATAATCGCTTAAGCGTGGTCTACGTGAAGTAAGTAAGTAAATTCCAGAATCACATGGCGAGTTTCCGTTTGCGTTGATGGTGGAATTTCATCTGACCTATCCTCAGCTATCTTGTGTTTTCTCGTCTCCATTTTAACGGAACGTTCTAAATTTCCAAAGTAAGACTTATAAAGTAATTGCAAAGGATTTGGTATTTTTAGATTTAACAAAAACAAATTAAAAGTCACCAACTGACCGAACTTTTGTTCATCACCTCTTATACGTACCACTGTCGAAGGCTGCAATAAGCTAAAGAAAAAGAACTTTACCGCGCAGCTCATCAGTTTTTTATGAAAATTACAAATCCTTTGTTTCCGCTTTACAAGTAAAGCAAAAACATTTCTTGAACTCATTAAACGTTGGTGGCTTTTCAAAGTTGATGGGATGAGCCCCACGACGATTGTGGAACATACAAAAGCAATATTCATACTCGTATGTTCTCCAACTAAATGTTACTTGTCAACAACTTGAAACACTTTAACACTGTCAATGAAATACACACATGTATACATGTACATATATACGTGTGGTTACATAGTAGCGCAAACAACAACATGCTGAAAAATTGAAGATAGCAGTGTCAATTACCCCCTTCAATTGAGTGCCTCCAACTCCGAAAAGTGAGCGCCTGAGGGAAGCAGAAAGGAAAACAGCACTTGCATACTCCCTTACATACATATGTATATATACACATACATATATACATACATGCATACATGTCCATTATGGAATGGAAAGTGGCTAATGAGCCATCATTAATATTATTTACACCCCAATAGGAGCAGCATGAGCACTCAAGTGCCAGCATCGCCAATGTCGCACTTCACTGGATACATTCTGCGCATTCCCTGCTACCGAGTGTCGGTGCGGCGTATCAGCGCAGCGTGAACGGGTGTGGTGTGAAGTAGTTGTTGCGTGTGCAAACTGTCAGCGAGATCAAAGCATATTTTCCATTATTTGTTTTGAGTTATTTCAAATAATATTTAAATAGTGTCTCTGTGTGCCAGTGACATGCAGAAGATATGAAGAAGAACAAGCAGACATGCAGAAGATATGAAGAAGAACAAGCAGACCTGTGACTTGCAACGGATCAGCATACCATGGACTCGTATGTAGATATGTACGAATACTTGCAGTACGATTAATGCAGCGCGCTAAGTGGCAGGGCCCAAGAGTGTGTCATGCTAATGTCCTTTGACAGATTTGAGTGTGGAAAATTGAAGAAAACAAAAACGAAAGCACTCAATGTTGCTCTGAGCGCTTACAGAGTGTTGCATTTCATTGTTGTTGTTGCCGGTTGCCAAATACGATCACTACTAATCACCGCGACAGCAACATGATCTTGTCAACAGCTGACACATTGTGTCAGACCAATTTGCAGCGAATGTATGCCCGTGTCATGTTTGTCTGCTACACCGTGTTGAAAATGTAGGTGTGTCACTGGGAACGTTTGTGGGTAAGTAAATATCTCTCACATTCGATTTCGCTTCAGAAATGTGAAAATCTCCGAATAATTTTTTATCTGCGATTTCGACACTTTCAGGTGATAACACATCGCGGACTTAGGTTAGGTTGGATTGGTTGATTTCTCAAGAAGTCCCACATAGACGATATCACGTCCATAGTGTTACCAGAAATATTACACTTCCTGCTGTGTCACCAAGCCGATTGAAGATTCCTCAGCTCACACTCACCAAGTATGATCAGTATCTATCTGCTGAGCTTTATTAATACCTCCAATCGCTGTGAGAATTTCTTGCATTTACTTACTTCACTGTAGACTTCGCTTAAGCGATTATAGCCGAGTTAACAACATTGCGCCATTCGCTTCTTCCCTTTGCTGTTTGGCCAATTGGAAATACCAAGTACAGCCAGGTCCTTCTCTAACTGGTCTTTCCAACGGATTGGAGGTCTTTCTCTTCCTTTGCTTCCACCGGCGGGTACTGCATCGAAAACGTTCAAAGCTGGTGCGCTTTCATTCATTCGGACCATATGACCTAGCAAACGAAGCCGCTGCTTCTTGATTAGGTGAACTATATCAATGTCACCATATAACTCGCACAGCTCATTGTTCCATCCTCTGCGATATTCGCCGTTGTTAATGCGCAAAGGACCATAACTTTTTCTCAAAACTTTTCTCTTGAAAACTCCGAAAGCCGACTCTTAAGATGTTGTCATCGGCCATGCTTTCGTACCATATAGCAGGACAGGAACGATGAGGGACTTGTAGAGTTTGGTTTTCGTTCGTCGGAAAAGGACTTTACTTTTTAATTGCCTACTCAGTCCAAAGTAGCACCTATTGGCAAGAGTGGTTCTGCGCTGGATTTCAAGGCTGACGTTATTATTGGTGTTAATGCTGCTTCCTATATAGACGAGATTATCTACGACTTCAAAGTTATGACTGTCAACAGTGACGTGGGAGCCGAGTCGCGGATGCGATGACTGTTTGTTTGATGACAGGAGATATTTCGTTTTGTCCTCATTCACTACCAGACCCATTCGCTTCACTTCCTTTTAAAGCCTGGAGTGAGGGCGGTTGTTGAGGCCGATAATTTCAATTGCCCCCAACTGTTAACAGTCGTACTACTAGCTTGGAGTCTGACCACTTTGATGATAGTAAGAACTTAGTTATCTTCGCTTCTAATGATTTGCACATTATTTTCACGATTCTACATCCCTTTGTAAATTAAATTTGTTGTGTTGATGTAGCGCCTATCCAATCCTGCTTAAGAGCAGCCGAGAAGTCACCTAACAGGTAGTCCGGAAAACGAGCTGTTCGGATTAGAGGAAAAGCGGGGTTGAAGCGCAGGTTTTCTCATTGCAGGCAGGACCTATGATGGGTATGCCGATCAAGTCTAAACAGTTAAGAATTAAGGTGACTGTAATATCCAGGTCTTAACTGTGTCAGTAGTACTCAATCATCGTCAGCAATAGGTGGCGCTTGAATTCCGAGTAGATCGTTTACTGGAAGAAGGTACAACAAGATGTTCACATACTCTCGGTGAATGGCGTTTAAAACCTGTCGGTACGCCGCTCTGTCTAGCGGTTTTGCCAAAGATGGTCTGTGTAGTCCAGTACACCCACTAGGGGGTGGTTCAGTCAGGCTGAAGTAAAAATCTGTTGAAGTGCTCCCTATGGTAGCATCGAAGATGATTCTCCGGCGACATCAGGAGGATTCCTGTCATGCTCCTGGGGTGGTGTTCTGATATGCTTGTAGCTTCATCTATATTTCGCTAGTTCCTAGCGTCCAAGCTGAAACAACGTAAGTTAGAACTCTCATGAGAGCATGAAGAGGTTACATTCTCCAGATTCTGTATGGCCTAGAGCTGTCACTTTTTAGCCAACCTAACCCCGTGTAAATCATTAGGTTATACTAAGAAAGTAAAGTCTTAATAGCCACTCGGCTATCTAGGACAATCTAAATTTCCCTTTAGAGTGAGTTAGTTTCCCTTAGCTCTCTTTATAGAAAATGTTTCGGGTCCAGTAAGTTGAAATCCCCC